GGTTCTAAGAATTCTAGCTATCTGATGAGGTGGTAATGCCTTTATTGAGACAGAGGAGGAAGAGTACAGAGGATGGGTTGGAAATGGTTATAGTTTTGATCTGCAAATTTTAATTGCCACCAGGTATCTGGTGGCCTAGTGGTAGAGTTGCACTGCCAAGGGCATGTGGTTCTAATTTACCAGCTGCAACCAAGAGAAAGTTGGGAAATCTTCTCCCCTGAAGTCTACTGCCTCTGAAAACCTGCTGGAGGGTCAACTATGAGTAGGTTCCACCTTGGCAGCAGATAACAACAACAACAGAGACAACCCAGATTCCGTTTCAATTTCTGTGAATGAGGAAAACAATGTTTAAATCACAAGTTTCAACTGAGACTAAAATGTGATTACTTTCTATTAACATTAAGAGATGGAAACTTTTCATTCATACTGAAACTAGAGGCAGAGTTCCTTTTAAAACAATATGGCCAAAACTTTCTGTGAGAAGCTAGATATAGTTGGGCTTACACAACTGTCTCTTACCTCAAAAAATGATGTTGCTAACAGACGCACCCCCTATATCTATTTGGTACTTATGTAATGTTGGCTACTATCCCTAATTGTTTGATCTGGTAATCTGCATCCCTCAATCAGCCATTGAAAACCCTATGAAGCACAGTTCTACCCCAACACGCTTGAGACCACCATTGTTCATCATGATAGGGGTCATTTGAGGGCAAGTTCTCGTTTGTTTTATTTTTTCATATTGTGTTATTGTTATGTGCCACTGAGTTGATTGTGACTCATAACGACCCTATGAATAATAGCCCTGAGTGCTTCTCTATCTTGGGGTAATGGGGATAGGTGTGTCGGAGATAAGGAAGTTGGCTCAAGTCTTTTCATATAGGTCTTACTACATGCTAGGCTTTTTTGGAAGGTAAATGCACAAGAAACACCTAAGTAGAATTGATGTCTTTGGGTGTGTAATTGGGAGAGGTTAGTCCTTGGAAAAAAGGACATCATGCTGGGAAAGGTGGAGGGTCAGAGAAAGAGAGGTAAACCCTCAATGAGATGGATTGACACAGTGACTGCAACAATGGACTTGAGGATATCAGGATCAGGGGATAGTTCAAGAGAGGGTAAGGTTCAGATCTGTTGTTCCTAGGGTGGCTGAGAGTCATAGTCTACTCCACAGGCACTTCACAATGACAACATATGCCAGGCATTTTTCTAAGACTTTATTAATATCTGTTCATAGAATCACATAAAATATCATAGAGTCACATGACTGGAAGAGATGCCTATTTATTCCCATTCAAAAAAAAGGAGATTTAATGTAGTATGGAAATTATAGAACAAGATCATTAATATCACATGCAAGCAAAATCCTGCTAAAGATTGTCCAAAACAGTACATCGACAGAGAGCTACTAGAGATACAAAGTGGGTTTAGAAGAAGTCGTGGCACTAGAGATATCATTGCCAATGTCAGAGGGATCTTGGTGAAAACAGAGAGTACCAGAGGAATGTCTATTTGTGTTTCATTGACTATGCAAAGACATTTGGCTGTGTGGATCACAACAAACTGTGGCTAACCTTGAGAAGAATGGGAATCCAAAATACCTCATTGTGCTCATACAAAATCAGGAGGCAGTCATCAAAACAGAGCAAAGAAACAATATATGGTTCAAAATCAGAAAAGGAGTGTGTCAGGGATGTGTCCTGTTTCCATACCTCTTCAATCTGTATGCAGAACAGATCATTAGAAAGGCTGGACTTTATGAGGAGGAATGTGGCATCAGAATTGGAGGAAGATGGTACAGCAACCTGTGTTGTGCAGATGACATAATCTTACTTGCTGAAACTGAGGATGACCTGAAATATCAACTATAGAGGGTCAACTGCTGTAGTCTGCAATATAGATTGAAGCTCATCATCAAGTAAACTAAGATTCTTACTGCTGGGCCAGTTGGCAGCATCATGATAGATGGAAAAGATATTGAGATTGTTAGCAATTTCAGCTTGCTCAGTTCCATAATCAAATCTTTTGGCACTAGCAGTCAGGAAATCAACAGATGAATTACATTAGAAAAATCTGTTGTCAGGGACGTCTAGAGGCTAAGGTATGCCTGATCTAGGCCTTGGTCTCCGCAATTACTTGCTATGCATCAGAGAACTAGACAGTGACCAAGCATTCCAGAAGAAGAATTCATTCCTTTGAGTCATAGTGCTGGAGAAGAGTATTAAATATACCACGGGCTGCCGCGAGAACAAACAGATCTATCCAGGAGAAAGTGAAACCAAGCTGCTACTTGTAGGTAAAGATTTTGAAATTCTGTCTCACATACTTTGGGCATGTAGCCAAGAGGGACCAGTCTTTGGAAAAGGATATCATACTTGGAAGTGTGGAGGGACAGTGCAGGAGAGGAAGATTCTGAAAGAGATGGATCTACACAATGGGCTAATGAGGGTAGGTGTGTCAGAGACAATGAGATTGGCTCAGGACTGGGGAAGGTTCAGAGCTATTGTGCATAGGGTCACTATGAGTTGTAGTCAAGTGGATGGCACATAACAAAAACAACAACAATACATAAAACACTACTTGTAGCAATTATTATTACCCCTATTTCAGGGGTAAAGTCAAGTCTCCAAAGGCAGCTTCTCTGACTCTGCCCACTGAGCCCCTTATAAGCCAAGAGGCACACCTTCCACTCTGTGTGTGGCACCATCTTGGACAAGTGGCCTGTCCTTCTATGTACTGTAAAGTTGCCTTGTGTTTGCACCCTTATCCCTGTTGGCATACTTGCCTGGGCTCTTACAACATCTGTTCTAACTCTCTGAGGTTGGCCGCCTCCTCACATTGCTACACATAAACTTGTAAGTGTGTGTGGTTCTTTCTATCTAATCCTGCTTCTCTGCCAGTTGTTACAAGTTGTTTCAAACTCTTCCAGTATCACATTTTCCACTCTTGTGTTGCAAGCAGCAAGAACATGTGCCACATTAAGCTGAGGGCTGAAGAGATAAACATGACATGATTCTTGCCTATTCAGAGATCTTGGGCTAGGCCACAGAGACCAGGCCTTTCAGTTTTGGAAAACTCCTACACCCAGCTCATCATGCTTACAAATGTGGTGAAAGAAAGGAAGATTCTCAACGAGGTGCACAGTGACTGCAGCACTGGGCTCAAGTATGTCAGAGACTGTAAAGCTATCACGGGGTTCAGATCTGCTATTCATAAGGTGCCTGTGAGTCTTAGTCCACAGATGGCACCTAACAGCACCACCCAGCACCGGTGGGCATTTTGTGAATATTCATCCAGTGGTTTGGCAAATGTTTATTGAGCACCTATTACATTTCAGGCAGGCCATGGCAAGAAACTGGAGGGAGGGCACAGAGTGCCACTGGCTCCTGCATGGGGGCCAGGAAAAGTAGCTATGGGGGGATGTGGGGGCAAGTAGGGTGGAGGGCTAAGGGAAGGGTAGCAAAAGGAGCCAAAAGAATCTGAGAGCCAGATGTGACATCTGGTCAGGGCGATTCATCTGGAAGAAGCAAGAAGTGAGACATGCTTGCCACAACTGCTTCTGAGACCCCAGCTCCACACTGCCAGCGGGTGGATAGTGAGCTGTTCCGGGCTTTGGGCAAGTGGATAGAGTGGTGTTGAGAGGAAGGCTCTGGACAACTTGGAGAAAGTGGTCAACTCAGTTCTGTGTCCCAACTTGATCCTGAGTCTATCCCAAGTTTGTCAGCCCCCACTGTTGTGTAACCTTGTGTAAATCCCTTGACCTTTCCAGGACTCATTTGTATAATCAATAAAATGAGTCTTCACTAAACTGGTATTACTGTTGTTATATCTAGTGGAGTCAGAACCTCCAGCAGGTTTTCAGAGGTATCAAATCACACAGGAAGAGACTGCTCAATGTGCTCCCAGGGAGCAGCTGTTGGATTCAAACACCATCCCTTTGGGTCGGCCTTGCAACTCCTTATTGGGAGGTTTAAAAGGGAGCTGCTTGGCAGGCAGGAAAATCTCCAGAGCTGAGGCTGTAGAGACCCGGGCCCATTCCTCGCCCTGGACCCCAACTCTCATTCAGCTCTCCATCAACGGATCCTGTTGCCTTGACTTTATATTTGTTTGTTTATTTGGGGCAGGGTTTGGAAAGGAGTGAATAAGGGTGGAAGAGAAGACAGATGCCAGAGCGCGTGGGGAGAGAAGGGTCGGAGTCAGGCTAGGATCTCCGGCAGGGGGAGGGGGTAGCGAGGGGGCGGAGCGAGCGGGGCTGGCGCTGCGGCGGGGCGGGGCGCGCAACTGCCAATGGCGCGCGGCGCTGAGGGGAGGGCGTGGCAGGAAAGCCCGCCTGCTGACAGCCCAACTCGCAGCTCCGCTCTCGCACCCTGGAGAGCCGGGAGCCCTAGCCGGCCTGGGCTGAGGCTACCCGCGCCCGGCCGCGGGCGAACATGGCAGCAGAATGAAGAGGCTGGCGCCGTGTCGGGACCGCCACCGCGCTGCAGCTTGGGATCTGTGCCCAGCGCACCCAACACACTTGCGGCTGCATCCTTAGCGGGCCTCCTTCCTGGTGGCTGCTGGGTTATTTCATTCGAGAAGAGGTGAGAAAGAAAGGCAACCTAGCTACGGAGACTCACGGAGTTCCGCCGGAGAGTCCAGACTGGTGTGAGAGCGGTTGCAGAGCTGACACGGGAAGAGCCAGTCCAGGCTTGCTGCGCCGCGGACGCGGGGATGAACCGGCCATGGAGCGGCCTTGGCGCACAAGGAGCCGCCTTGGCGCGCTGCGGCTGAGGTGTCGCCTGAGCTGCGGTTCCGCGCGGCTTTGGGGCTTCGCGCGCCCCCAGAGGGTCCCTCCTGCCGCCCCTGGGAAGGACCGAAGCCTCGTGTGGGGGACGCCGCAGCAGTGCTAGTTCTGAGGCGCGCGGAGTCGGCTCCGCCTGCAGCTCGGTGCGCCCTCGCAGCCCGGGCGCCTTGCCCGGTGCACAGCGGCTAGCGCACGGCGGCGGAGTTGGCTGGAGAAGCTCGGGCCAGGACCGGTTCGAAGGCGTGTACGAAGGCATTGGGCTGGAATCGGAGCGGGAGCTGCGCCCCGCGGACCTGAGCAGCCATGCTGCCGGGGGTGGGCGTGTTCGGCACCAGCCTCACGGCCCGTGTCATCATCCCACTGCTGAAGGACGAGGGCTTCTCCGTGAAGGCTCTGTGGGGCCGCACGCAAGAAGAAGCCGAGGAGCTGGCCAAGGAGATGAGCGTACCCTTCTACACCAGCCGCATTGACGAGGTGCTTCTGCATCAGGACGTGGACCTGGTGTGCATCAACCTGCCGCCGCCCCTCACTCGGCAGATCGCTGTCAAAACCCTGGGTGAGCGACCCTCTTTTCCATCCTCTCCTAGCCTTCTCATTCTTTCTTCTCACTATTTCAGAAGCGTAGCTGACCTCACTCCATCCTCCCAGATCCCACTCGCAAGCTCTCTCCTTGCCTCGTCCTAGGCTTTGGCCACCCCTGTGGTTCCCTCCACTCTCCTGGCAGCACCTGGACGCGCTTCCTCCACGTGTGTGTCTAGGCTGGAGGAGGCGTCTGAGCACACAGAGGCGGATCAGATGCTGGGGACCGGGGGCGGGTTGCGCTGCGGAGAAAAGAAACGAAATCCTCGGTGGTGGGATGTGTTGGATGCCAGCAGACGTGCGTGCGTGCGCGGCTGGGGGAGGCGAGTGCGCGCCCCGGAACGCTGAAAAAAAGGCCCAGCACGTGTCTTGCTTTTCCTGGGGGCCTTAGGAGACCTGCTGTTTAGCTCTGTAGCTCCCAGTTAGGATCGGTGGTTTTTCTCTGTTGAGATTTTATTTCGCTTTTTATTAGAGATGTGACAACCGGCTGGGATTATTACGTCTGAGCTGTAGGTCAGGATGGCAGGGTTGTGGATGGACGTATTCAGAGTGGTGGTTGTTAGCAAAAGCTGGTTTGGTAAAAACCAGAGACATTTAAGTTTTAAGTGCAGCAGTACTTGGCATTATCTTCAGCTGGGCTTTGGAGTCAGAGGTCTTAAATGCCTTAAGAGGTCTTAAATAGGGGGCTGGAGCTGTACTTCCAGAGACTCTTGCCATGCTTTGTTTTGGAAAGGTCAAATGCTACCAGTTTCCTTTGGAATCACGCGATGGTCTTTCCTTAATTCGCTTCAGGAACAACAGGAGGCATGGTGCTGACAGGAGATAAGCTCGCCGCCCGGCATCCCCACCCCCATTCCATTCCCAACAATCTCCAAGCCCAGCTCAGCGCCTCTGCCATGCGCAGAGAAACAAATAGTGCATGTTTTGCCCATCAGCAGTTCTCACACATCTTAAGACAATCCCAGGAAGGTGGCTCACTCTTTTCTGTACTGAGAAGAATGTTATCTCTGCCCTTGAAAGATGGCGTTTTTATTGGGGTAGAAGAGAGACAAGAAAGGCACAGAGTTCTTTCCACAATAGAACGTTTAGAGGGGAAGAACTGGGGTAGCACCTAGAAACCAAGTGTAATTTATGTAATCTTGCAAAGACTGCTTTAACAGCTCTGATTCAGGACAGATGAAATGCACACCTTCAGGCCTATGAACAGAATGCATGGAACTCCCCCTCCTTGGTTTTTGGCTCAGCTGGGACCTTTAAAAGCCCTTTCTTAAGGGAACTGCCCAAGACTGTCAGGTTTAACATTAATCTTATTAAACGTCTGGCCTTTTTAGCCTGGTTTTTTGTTTGTTTTTGTTTGGTGTTTGGTGTGTTGGTTTGGTTTTTGTTTGGTGGATTTTTTTTTTCTACCTTAAATAAAGAGTCATTGGACTTTGGCCAAGATATCTTTTCTGCTTGCTCTAAAACACTTGTTGGGTAGATAATTTCAGTACTTGCACTGGTTCTGTGCCTAATAGATAGGTGATGGTCACCCTCTAGTATAAACCTTTTGGAGCAATTTGTATAAAACAAGTCTATCCCGAGCCTCACTTTACTAGAGGGTATAAGACAGGCCAGATTAGAGACCTCTTGTGGTAACTTCTCTTTTTGGCTAGGCAGTCTTGCTGGTCAGCCCCACAGATGGACCAGCCCACTTTTGCCTCTGTGCATTTACCTAGCCTAGAGCTGGACAGTGACTATGGATGATAGAAGGAGAATCAATGTCTTTGAGTGCTGGACAAGAGTATTGAATAAACCATGGACTACTAGGAGAACAATCAGGTTCTTCCTGGACAGGGTGAAACCAGGCTGCTCCTTGGAGGCAAGGATTCTGAAGCTTTGTCTGACATGCTTTGGACATGTTGCAAGGCGGGATCAGTCCTTGGAGAAGGATGTCATGCTTGGGAGGGTGGAGGGACAGCACAGGAGATGAAGATCCTCGATGAGATGGATTGATTTTGTCACTGGGGTTTTGGGGATAGGTGTGTTGGAGACAGTAAGGTTGGCAAGAGATAGAACAGCCTTTAGGACTGTTGTACATAGGGTCACTATGAGTCGGAAGTGACTCGATGGCACATAACAACAGATATTCCATATAAATAGAGTAGCATGTCTTCAGGACAGTGGGGAGCAAAAATGTTCCTGTTTCCTGACCATCTCTGATACTTTAGCAGTCAAGACCATATGAGGGTTCAGGCTTCATGATAAATGTCTGTATAAATCTTCTATTGCTATTGTTTTTTTTAATCTTAATGATTTCCTCCCTCCCACTTGCCTCTTGACAAGACTAATGCTTCAAAACCAACCATAAAATGTACAAGAATTTTTTTAAAACCAAAACAACAGTTTGTTTTCATCAGGTTGGAACTGACCCTCAGTCAGGTTTTTGCATCAGAAGAGATTGTACATCTTTCTCTGGAGCAACTCACTACAGACTCTGCTATTGGTTTAATATCCGTGACTAAAGAATAGGGTGGGGTTTGTTTTGTTTTTCCTTTTTGTGTGTGTGTGGTAGCTCTTGGGACTTAAAAAACTCCTGTGTTTGTAGGTAATTTTAAGTAATTTGTGATTGTAGAGAGCCAGGTAGCACTGTGTAGGTTTGGCTAGGTTTTTGTTTTATATTAGATCTGATCTTAATAGTTTTGGAAAATCCCCAGAGGTATTCTTCTTCACATTGCACCAGGGCATATACCTTGAGGATGGTCACTTAGGTTTCCTTTGCCATCATGGTTAGAATTTCAGTTCATACATGCATGAAGTGAAACCCCCACCAGTTATCAGGATGGTCTGGTCACTGCAGAGGGGATGGTTTTGTGTTTATATGTATTACTGTTTGCTTAGAGTTGACACAAGTGAGTTTTCTGGGTCTATTAGAACTACTTTTAAACCACTGTCTTCTATTAAAACCACTGCTGTTGATTGAGTGGATTTTAACTCATGGCAACCTTCTCTCTGGCTTCTGTGATTGTAAATTTTTGTCAGAGGTAGATTCTAACCAATGACTCCTCAGTTAGCAGGGCAACAAGTCTTGTATTAGTAATTTTTCTTCCTTTAGCCGGAACCTGACTTTGAATTGCTTGTTCAGCAGTGGGTAGCCAGATCCATGGTCCCTGATCCATGCTTCTGACTGGCCACAACATGTCTGTCCAAGGAAAGAGCTGGAGCATTGAGGAATGAACTTAGTGGAACCCTTTCATTTTCTTTTTTCTAAAAATGTACTTTAAATCTCTAGTAAAGAATAACTTCTATTGTGTTTTTAGTGCCCACTATGTGCTGTGATCCAAGAAATGGTCTTCAGTTGCTCTCTGTGCATCTGAAATTTGGACAATGAGTATAGACCAAAAAAGAATCAATACCTTTGAATCATGGTATCCATCAAGAATATCGAATCCCATGGATTGCCAAAAGAACAACAAATCTGTCTTAAAGGAAGTGTAACTAGAGTGCTCATTAAGAGGCAAAGATGGTGAAACTTCATCTCACTTACTGTGGACATGTTCTCAGGGTGAATAAATCCTTGGAGGGAGACATCATGCTGGGAAAGGTGAAAGGTCAGAGAAAGAGAGGAAGACTCTCAACAAGATGGATTGATACAGGGATTATGACAGTGACCTTGAGCATGACAGAGACCTTGAGGATGGCGCAGGATAGGGCAAGGTTCAGATCTGTTGTTTATAGGGTTGCTATGAGTCATAATAGGTAGACAACACCTAACAATATGTGCTGTGAATTCCTAAGTGGTGATGTAATTAATATACTTACTACTGACAGAAGGTGTGGTTATTTTTACTTCATCCACAGGTGTCTTGGAAGAAAGTCCTGGTAATCTTCCAAAATCTGAGCGATTGAAACCCTCTGGAGCACAGTTCTACTCTGGTTTACATGAGATAACCATGAGTTATGATTGAGTCAACTGTAACTGATTTTTGGTCTGTGTTTGGTAATGTAATTATTAAAACAACTTCAAATGTTAAAATAAGAGATAACCCTAAGAGAGCTAGTATTACTTTCACTTTACAAATGAGACAGCTAAGACTAGGAGTTGTATATTGAGTTGATCACAGTCACATAGTGAGAGATTTGACTCTCCCATTCTGCTTCTGCCCTGTCCATTTCTTCTGTTCCCCTCCCATAGACCTGCTCATCACATTGCTTCCTCCTCTCAGATGGTAGTAGCCCAAGTGTCAGTCTTGGGAGTCATCCTTATTCTTGTTCACCCTGCTAATGGAATCAGTTCCCACATCTGGTCGATGCCGTCTCTGAATTTTGTCTCTGTTCTGTCTTCTAAGTCATCTCTTCCTCCTCAGCTGTCCAGCCCCCACTCGGCTTCCTGCCCCACCTTTCCAGAGGCTGTAGCTGGCCTTAGTGTAACTGCAGCCCTGGTCACGTCACCTCTCCTCATTTCAAGGGTTCCCCCTCACCTCCTGGAAAAGCCCCAGTTTCTTCCAAGTGTGAATAGCAAGCCTTTGCCTCTGAGGAGCCTGACCAGCCTGGGCCATCTTTACCATTTCTGATGTACTTGAGCCCCATGCTACAGTCACTGTATGTATCTGTCCCTCTGGGGGTCTTCCTCTTCCTTTCACTGACCTTCCACTCTATTTTTCCAAGCAGGATATCTCTATCCAAGGAATAACCTTTCTTGGCAACATATCCAAAGTATGAGAGACAAAGCTTCGCCATCTTTGCCTCCAAGGAGCACTGTGGCTGCACTTTCCCCAAGACATACGTGTTCGTTATTTTGGCAGTCCATGGGATATTCAGTAATCTTCTCCAGCACCTATTCTTCAAACTCTGGTACTTCCTTGTGAAAGTCCAGTTCTTTCATATCTCCATGCTTCTTCCTAACACCTGGAGAGATGCCCTCCATGCCCCCCACCCTCTCAACTCAATCTCAGCCCCTCACATGCTCTTTTCTCTCAGGACCATGAGCAGCCATTGATT